TATTAAAGTCCCCTACTATGATTGTATCGTTGTTGATCTCTCCCTTGATATCTTCCAGATTTTTTTATGTATTTGGTTGCTTCTGTATTGGGTGCTTATATGTTTACCAGAGTTATATCTTCTTGTTGAATTACTCCTTTTAGTATTATGTAGTGGCCTTTTTTATCTATTATAATGTGTTTTACTTTGAGATCTATTTTATCAGCAATAAGTATCGCAACCCCACCTTTTTTCTCATTTCCATTTGTCTGAAAAATGTTTTTCCATCTCTTCATTCTCAATCTGTGTGAACCCTTTACTCTGAGGTGGATCTCTTGTAGACAGCAAATATATAGGTCAGTTTTATTATCCATTCAGCTACTCTATGTCTTTTGATTGGTGCACTTAATCCATTTACATTTAATGTTATTTTTGATAAGTACATGTTTGTTGTCATATTTTTCTTTAGTGTTTGTCTTTCTTCTTTTTACAGTAGTCCTTTAGCATTTCTTGCATTGCTTGATTAGTAGTGATAAACTCTCTTAGCCCATTTTTGTCTGTGAAGCTCCTGATTCCACCTTCAATTTTGAATGATAGCCTTTCTGGGTATAGTATTCTTGGATTCAGACCCTTGCTTTGCATCACTTTGTGTATATCATTCCATTCCCTTCTGGCCTTATGTGTTTCTGTTGAGAAATCAGTTGCTATTCTAATAAGAGATCCCTTTTAAGTAAGTTTCTGTCTCTCTTTGGCAGTCTTTAAGATTTTTACTTTATTGTTGGTGTTCGCCAATTTAATCATATGGCTTGGTGTCAGTCTTTTGAGGTTAAACATGCTTGAGACCCTATGTACTTCTTAGACTTGCATGGTTTTTTTCTTGCCAATATCAGGAAAGTTTTCTGTCATTATTTCTTTAAATAAATTTTCTATTCCTTGCTTCTCTTCCTTTCCTTCTGGTATTCCTATTAAGTGAAGCTTTTTCCATTTTGTGTTGTCCAAAAGCTCCTAAGGATCTCCTCCTGTTTTCTAAGTCTTTCCAGTTTCTCCAGTGTTTTTCAGATTTTTTTCTACTTTGTTTTCTAATTCGCTGATGTAGTCCTCAGCCTCTTCTAGTCTACTGTTTAAGCCTTCCATTGTGTACTTTATTGCAGCTATGTCGTTCTTCATCATTTCTTGGTTCTTTTTCATGCATCTGACATTCTCATTCAGCTTCTAATAACTCTCATTGAGTTGGTTGTGTGTATTTGTCATCCAGCTGTTTAAGCATCCTTATAACCATTACTCTGAATTCTTTCTCTGATAAGCTGCTAGCCTCAATTTCATTTAACGCCCTTCCTGGTGATTCCTCTTTCACTTTCCTTTGGGGATTGCTTTTTTGTCTTCCCATGTTTTCCTGTAATTTTTTTAAAAAATCAATCTTTATTTTTCATATTATTACAAAGGTTCCTCATTTCTTCCCCCTTCCATCAGGTTCCCACTCCCCTCCGCCCCCTCCCCACCCCCCATTGTCCTCATCCATAGGTGCACAGTTTATGTTCAGTATCTTCCTCCCTCCCTTTCCCCGAGAACAGTCAGTCCACTCCCCTCCCATAAATGGACACATTGTTTAAACATAGCTGCTGGTTGGAATTGGATTACCTGTTCTGGGTAGGAAGGGCTTGTCATTCCCTTTAAAAATAAGGTGTTAGCTTTAAAACCTCTTTTTGGCAAGAGACCTTAAGCTTTCAACTTTAAATTTTTCAGATAGTAAATCAGTTACTTAGCATTTTCTCAAATCAATAATACCCCCATGACCAAGGATACACTTCACACAAAAGACATTTCCAAATAGATCAACCAACCTCATCCAGGCCCCACACAAGGCACTCACAGATCAACACCCCAGCGCTATACTGATTTAAAGAATCCAGATATAAGCCTTCCTCATTTGATTCAGCAGAACTTCAAGTTCCCCCAAAAGTTTCCAGCCATGTCTGAGAGGAAGCCTTGGGGCGGAGGCAGGTGAGGAGCGAGCTGTTCCGGGCCTGACTGCTCCGGGCCTGGCCTCTGTTGCTCTGGTGCGTTCCACAACCAGCTGCTCCGGGTTTGGCCACTGCCACTCCTGACCTGGCTGCTCCGGGCATGGCTGCTGCTGCTCCGGGCCTGGCCGCACCCGACCCGGATGCTCTGGGCCCAGGCTGCTTCGGGCCCGGCCGCTCCAGGCCTGGTCGCTCCCAGCTTGGCAGCTGCTGCTCCGGGCCTGGCCGCACCCGACTTGGCTGCTCCGGGCCTGGCCACTCCCGACCTGGCTGCTCCAAGCATGGTTGCTGCTGCTCTGTGCCTGGCTGCTCCCAACCCAGCTGCTCTGGGCCTGGCTGTCCCAGGCCCGGCCGCTACAAGCCTGGCAGCTCCCGGCCTGGATGCTCCGGGGTTGGCTGCTGATGTTCTGGGTCTGGCTACTCCCGACCCGGCTGCTCTGGGCCCAGCTTCTCCAGGCCCGGCCACTCCGGGCCTGGGTGTTCCTGGACTGGCTACCCTGGGCTTGGCCGCCTCCGCCTCAGGCCTGGCTGCCAGTGCCCCAGGTCTGGCTGCTCCAGGCCTGGCTGTTGCTGCTCTGGTTCTGACTGCTGCTGCTCTGTGGCCTGGCTGTTGCTGCTCCAGGCCTGATAGCCACTGCCTTGTGCCTGGCCACTCTAGGCCTGGCCGCCGCTATTCCAACATTCTGTCCTTTTTTTTTTTTTTTTAAACACATTTATGTTGCAGTGTTGGCTGCTGAGTTGAGTTCTGACTTAGTCTTCGATTTTTCAAGATCTTCTTTGTATTCTTTCTTAAGTAATTTTACTATCTTTTGCTCTCACTTGATTTCTTCACATTGAAAACTTCTTCGGTTTCTTCCTCCTTGTCCTGGAAGCTCAGCAGGTTGGCCTGTGGCACCCCTTTGTTCTCCACGGGCTCCTGTGCTGCTTAAGCCTGTTGCAGGGGTCGGCACCGCCCAGGAAGCAGACCCGGGCCTCGGCTCCATGGCCCGCGCTCAGCCATCGAAAGCCCAGGGGCACAGAATAATGTGCCTATTTCTCTGTTTCAAGGATATTCTTCCTTGTATTACGCACATTTACTGTTCTAGGTTCCTTTAAGTAAATAATAGATGTTTCATAGACTGTTGAAAGGGTTCTTGACTGTAATTAAGGATTTCTTAGATCTTAGATGCCTTTTCTACACTACCAACTGACTTGGAGAATCTGCTTCACCTGTTCGAAATGAGTTCTCATGTATTTTCTTTCATTTTATCTGAATTACTCATGTTTTCTTGTTGTTTCCAATAATGCCACCCGGCTCCTTGCTGGCGCATGGCTGGCCAGTGTCCGGCAGGGGCTCCTGCTCCTCGTCGCGTTCCTCCAATCTGGAGCTTTTTTTCTCCTTCCCGCTAGGGGCGTCTAGCATCAGAGTCAACAGACTGTCCTCTGCGCGCAATGTGCACGGCTCCTGGGGCTCGCTTTTCGCCGCTTCCTCAGGACTCCACCTCACAGCCCCGTCTCCCTCTGCTTGAGCCTGGGTCCCCAGGGATTGGCCTAGAACTGGAGTTCAGAGTAGTCGGGAGTGGGGCTCAGCATCACCGTAGGTTTTGTTTCTTCCCGCCAGGGCAATCCAGACAAGAAAAAGCTTAAGAAGTTCATCACCACCAAACCAGGATAACATGAAATGCTGAAGGGTATTCTTTAAGAAGAGGAAGAAGAAAAAGGTAAAGGTAAAAACTATGAACAACAAAAAGACATCAAATACATACCTATCAACAAGTGAATTACAAATCAAGTGAATAAAAAATCTGAAGAACAGAATGGACTGGTGAATATAATAGAATCAGAGACATAGAAAGAAAGTGGATTGACAATCCTCAGGGGGAAGGAGATCTGAGGGGTGCAGGAAGAGATTGGACAAAAGTCTTACACCTATGGATGAAGACAGTAGCAGGGGGTAAGGGCATGGGGTGGGATGGGGAATCAGATGGAGGGGAACTATGGGGGAGGGGGGACACCTGTAATAATCTGAACAATAAAGATTATATATTAAAAAAAAAAAAGATGAAGGCAAGAAGTGATATGTGGATTTGGCAAATGCAAGGTCATGGGTGACACAGACCATGGAAAAATAGAATTGGATTACTCCTAGAGGGAGGAAAAAAGAAAACACATACTCTCTAGAATCATTATTAAAAATAATAATAATAAATTTTTAAAAAGCTCCTTCCTTTAGAACCATAGCAAAATCCTTCCCCCACCCCCCTTCCCCCACCTCTATATCAGGGAAGTTTCTAAGTATATGTCAAAGCCTGGGCATCACTCATTCCTAAATAGACTTGCTTCACAGCCCAGACAAGGTCAGAGGGAGTAAAGGTGGAAAAAGGAGACATCAACTCATTCTGGAAGTGAAATGCCACCAATCTCTTTGCTTGAAGGTCACCCACACCACTCACCACTAGCCTTCCCCACATGATTTGTAAGTATATTCCAGATAGAGCTTCACAAGAGATGGCATAATAAATATTTATTATCATTTAAATTTAAAAATAAGTTCAAAAGTCTGAGCGATAAGCTAAAATACAATAAAAAGTAATATCTGAGTGTTAGTTAGACATCTTGCTGGCATGCAATGGTTCCTTTAATGCAGGAAAAGGTCCTGTAGAAATTTCCATGTTATTACATATTGTCTCCCCTTTTCCCAGAAGACTCTAATGAAATGAGGAGGACAAGGATACTAAGGCATAAAGGCAAAGGGATGGGGCTGAGGTTAGATTGCCAGGAGAAGCAGACAGGAATCGAACCAAGAAAATCCTGAGAATTCTACCCATAATTCTACTCAGGGTACAATTCGATGGCTACTGCCCAGCAGGAGAAAAGCCAGTGTCTTCTTCCAAGTAATCATTTATGTCACATCTGTGGGGAGCAGGCTTGACATGATGCTCTGCTCTGTGATCCAGGCCAGCAAATTGGACTCACCTACAGCCCCAGACACTCTCCGTCCCCCTGCCTGGAACACAGTCCTCATTACAAAGCCCAACCCTCTTTGTGGAAAACCAGCTGCACAGCCTCATCCACGTCATTCACAATGTGGGATGCCTCTATAAGCCCTGGACTAAAATTAAAGTCCCGGTGCCCATGGAAGGGAGGCTCCTCTTCTCCCTGAGCAGGTTCTGTGGACCCCGGGGCCTTGGGACTGTATACACCAGTGCACACCAGGATGGAGGCACAGCTCTGGGTTGCTGAGGGTTGCTGCTTCAACAGACCACTCGACCCCAGCTTCTCTGCCTGCTCATGCTTCGCCATCTGCAGGTACTGGTTGAACAGGTTGGCACCGTAGACATCAGACATAGGATTATCACTGGTAGGGGCAACCATACCGGAAAAGAAAAGAGGAGAAAACCGAAGTTCAGTGTTGTAAGGCACAGAGAGCAGAGGACAATTATGGGGTAAGGAGTGTGCATTAAACATAGGGAAACAAGGTGGATGAGAGGGGAAGGAAAAGTTGAGGTGATGGCTAGAGCTTACCCTACAGCATAGAGCTTCTGGATGGGGGCAGCCCAACCCCGCCTCTCCGCCTGCCGCCTGATCAGTTCTTCTGCATACTGATAAGTGAGGATGCTGGGTTTGCCCATCAGGCCCTTGTATCTCAGCTCTTTGCCTGTCACTTTGCGGTAAATGGTTTCCAAGCACAGCAGAAATGTGCCATGGCCAAACCTACCAGAGAAGACAGCCCAACAGATTAGTCTTCGCTCCCTGGACTCTCCAGGCCACCTGCCATTCTCTGAGCAGTACCCTATCACTCATCCAGTGGTGACAGGTCAAAATAAAATTACTTCTAATAAGAATTACATTTATGACCTGCTATTATCTAATAACATTTATTGAGCACTGTTCTAACACTGGAGATACAAATCACATTTAATTCTCAGAAAAACTCTATGAGATCATTGTTCTCATTTTACAAGTGAGGAAACTGAGACATAAAGAGATTAAGTAACTTGCCCAATGTGGTAGCACTAGGATTTTACCCCAGGAATTAGGATTCCAGAAAGTTTAATTTTTGCTTTAGAATTGTGGCAGACCACTGGTTGCCATTCTCCCCTTCTTTCTTGGTGCCAATTTTTATTGAGCATAGTGCTACCAAGTGTAAAAACTATATTCCCTTCCTCCTCTGCAACAGGGTGTGTGGCCATGCGAATGCACTATAACCAGAGTCAATGAAATTAGAAATGCTGGGCTAACCATCTAGGAAGTATTCTTAAATTGAGGAGGTGATGCTCTTCTCTTCCTTCCCCTGTTCCTTTCTGCCTGGAATGCTGATATGTTAGTTGAAGTTCAGGCAGCCATTTGGGATTATGTAATAAAGGGCTAAGGATTGCACAGCAAGAAGATAGAGGTACCTCTGTTCCTGACAGGTAGAGCTTCCATACAAGACTTGGACAGCCTACCCTAGACTTATTTTACATGAGAAAGAAACTTTTATCTTCTTTAAGATACTTTTGTTTTGGGTTTTAATCCCTTGCTGCTAAATCAAATCTCAACTAATACTGCACAAGATATAGAAGTTATATTTGTGTCATTTATTTATGTAATAAATTATATTTTCAAATTACTAAATAAAAGATTAATTTAAAATTTGGTTTGTAAATTGAAATCTTCTCCTTACTATTCAGTTCACAGCCTATTTAACCAACCCCCTTTACCTAGTGTCAGCATACCCTAATTTTGGAAGAATAACTCAGGAAAAAAAAAATACCTAACCTCTAACTATAGGAAAATATTTGAAAAGTAACAAGAGACATTGGAATCCCCATCTCTTATGGGCTATTGAATGGCATGACTTGAGGCAGTGTTGGGCCCTGCTACCCTATTGATGGATTACACTCCCAGCTTACGGAAAGTCATGGGGAGGGGAGAAAACTCTAAACTAAGCATGTCAAACCTGTGGCTTATAGGCCCACACGGCCAACAATGAATATTTTTGTGACCCAGCCAATATAATGGTATGCAAGAAACGTTTTAATAAAAATTTCATAACTTAATTTTTATAATATCCTGTTACACATAATCTATATATATTAAAGGCTAATAATATGCTAAGTGTCCCTCCAACTGTCTAATCAGTCACTATGACTTGTACTGACCACCAGGGGGCAGACACTCAATGCAGAAACTACTGTGATGAGCACTTGCCATTTATAGAGAAACAGCAACGTGGACCTGGCACCAACAAAGCAACACTCGGCTTTTCCCAAGTGGGACACAGGCCTTGCCACCACTCCAGAGCAACAGCCCACCAAATTGCAGCCGAAGCTGCTGAAACACCATGGTGCAAACCCAGCCCAGCCCAGAAACGGTGGCTGTGGACACTGGGTAATGACATCACATAGTAATGCCCAGCTTCCTCTCTCTATATAATAAAAGTATTTATTATAATGCTGACACTAGGTGAAGGGGTTTTGGTTATATAGGTTATGAACTGAATAGTAAGGGGAAGATTTTAATTTACAAACCATCCTATATAAGAAAATTTTTACTATATAGGAACAGGAAGCCGGTCATTACAATTTGCATATAGTAAAAGCATAAAATGCAAATTGCCTGAATGGCCAAACAGCAGAACAATCATCTGGACAACCATCCTAGACACCCACTGGCACTAGGCCAGCCAAGGCAGGTACAATACAGTTGGTCGGGGCCCAAGCCATCCCATGATCACCCTGCAGAGGAAGGCCCAGGCCACTGATTGCAGGCTGCAGCAGGTGGGTGGGGCCTCCCTCTGTGAGGGAAGCCCAGGTCCCGGGTGCTGGAGGGAAGCCAGTGCCAGCAGCAGGGGGAAGGAAGGCCTAGTCTTGCATGAATTTCGTGCATCGGGCCTGTAGTCCATATCTTACCTATATCTATACCTATACCTATATCTATACCTATATCTATATCTATATCTATCTATATCTATCTATATGGCTAATATGCTAAGTGTCTGGTTAATGACATCACATAGCAATGCCCGGCTTCCTCTCCCTAATGACAACTAGCCTCCTTGGAGTTTCTTCAGCCCAGAACACCACTTGCTTTATAGCAGGTGCAAACATTTCACACTTTAATCAAATGTCTGCAAAGCATTTTCCCATGCCTCATCTCATTGGATCCTCGCAGAAGACCTGGAATAGGTAGATAGGAGACTCGATGGAATCCTATTGTCTTTTCATTAGCTGGAAAAATGCAGATTCAGAAACTTGATCTGACTGAAAAGAAGAAATGGTGGAACTTGAAAATGACTTCAGGTTTTCTCACTGCACAGAATATAATCAAACACTGCTGCAGTTAAATATTTTACCCTTTGTTCTTACTGCATGATGTACAATAATAATCTGCTTCATGTTGGTATTTACTGCTGTGCTGCTAACAATTACCTGAAAGAGAAGTTGGGGTGCTTCACTGGGCTGGGAAAAGTTTAGCTACGTACATCAAAAAGCAGGTCTAACTAAGCAAGTTTTATATATATCATTGGCACCATATGTTTCTATCTGTCATTGTCAATCATAAATTTGGTTGACACTTCTATTATAAAGAAAAGGCAAATAGTGATATTAAAATATTTCTTCTAATTAATTTCCTTTCAATGTGCATGAATTGGTGCCCTGGGCCACTAGTTATTAATAACAAACTACAGCGCTTGCTTATGACTGATTACTATACTAGTGTTGCATTCATTTCCCTTATGAGCCTTATATGCAGGTACACCATTTCTCTCCACTGATGTGAATATTTTATTATTTTTTAAATTGAATTAATTTTATTTTAGCAGTGAATATTTTAGCAGCCAATTGCCATCTTAGACTGACTTGTTTGGTGTGCACAAATGAAATATTTCCCTTTTGGAGAACAAGAAAAATAGATTTGCATTACACTTACTAATTTGTGCAGCTATTCAGTGTCTGGTAAGTTAATGCTCAAGAAAAAAATATTGATTTTTATTAAAATGTTCTAATATTTTATGTTAACTATTACTCATTTATTTCAGCCCTTTGTATTCAGCATGATTCTATTGAAATAAACCTATGTTTCTATGAAAATTGAAGTTTTTGTTTTTTTTTCCACCCATATAAACTTAAATCTTATTTGGCTTGTATTAGCCTTTGAGTTTGACATGCTTGCTCTAGACTTTGGCCTTGCAGTTAAGAGCAGCTAAACAGTACACAGTGAACATCAGCTGCCCTTTCTGTAAGGCACATCAAGGGCCGGAAAAAGGGCTGCCTACACTGTGCTCAAACTCAGAAAAGGACAGGACAGGTGAGCTCTACACAATTGTGCAGAATGTGTAAGCCTGTTCACTGAGTGCCTTTGAGAAAGTCACTTATCCCCTGGGTCTGTTCCCTTGTATATAAAAACATCAGAACAATTATTTCTTTCCCTGCTCTTATGTTTTAAGGGCAAAAGGAAACAAATAATTGAACTAATCAATGCTACAGGGTGAAGGCAAAGAAAGAAGAGCGGTCGAATAATTTGCATTGATATACCTCAGAAACTGACCATTTAGATTCCTCTAATCAAAAAGGATTTATTCTGTTAAGATTCTGAAGGGCAAGGATTATTTGTTAAAAATCATCTCAATACATCTTCAGTGTTCAGTAAGCTGCAGTATCAAGTGGCAGTGGGAAACTAACTGTCAGTAGGACTGCTCAAGCAATAGCTGGAAATGGTCCACCAGAGTCAAGGTCAGGGACTATATCCTCACCTGGGCATCTTGGCTTCAGCCATCCAAAGAAGATCCATATTACTGGCCAGGACAGGGAGATGGGGATAAGGGGCCGTCGCCAGACCCTTCCCAGGGTTCCCATTGCTGAGAAGGACATCCATGATCAGCTGCAGGCTTGTTTCCCAGCGTACTGGCTCCCCAAGGAGGAGTACTCCTTTAAAGAGCAAAGGCATAGGGTAAGAGTGCAGAGCATTTAGCCTGCTCTTTGTGGTGGGTGGGAGGAAGGCCCTCAGAAAACCAGCTGAGTCCACCCAACCACAGCTCTTCCCCCAACAGTACACTCACCCAGGCAAGGCATGGTTCCCTGAAAGAGCCACTCACCTATTCACCCAAGGTGAACAAAACCCAGGGCCCAGGAAGGCACCTTCTAAGGGCTCATACTGTTATTGTGTCTACCACATTCACATAAGTTAAAAACAAGACAAACAACAGTGAGTCTCGGGCCCACTTCCTCCTGATAACTGATATTCTTCCCACCACCCTACCTATAGGTACTTGGCAAAATTGCTCACTTTCCTCAGCCACTTATCTCTGAGCCCCAGGGAGTCAATAACCCTAACAGCTAGGAGAGCTGGATGCAGAGTGATAGAGACCTGAATTCCAAGGCTGACTGTGCCAACTTTCCTGATTGTGGGCAAGTTATTTAAGCCTCAGCTTCTTCAACTATAACAATACCTACTATTATTATGAGAATAAAAATGATATATAATAAATAAAGCACTTAACCTGTGATGGACACATGGTACTCAACAAATGAAAGTTGTGATATCAGCTAACAGTCCAGTGAACTGAATCACTGCCCCCTGAAGAACTGTTGTGGGAGCTATTGGATGTATTTTAATCATTAAAATGACTGATACTTAGTGGTGAGGATTGTGGGAGGGGGGCCAGGTATGCTAGATACTCAATACAGTTCTGTTCAATCAAAAACTGCCTATGTCTATAACCATTTGAGTGTCCCAGCTGGTATTCATGTAGGGAACAACCTGTTTATAATTAATGAACCTAAACCTTAATTCCATGTAAACACAAAGTATTTTTTGGTAGTTTTCATAAACAATGATTTTTTTTTTAAATGTAACTATTACATAAGTCAAGAGAAGGCTGTACTTTTCTTTTTTCAAAATGTTACCAAGTTTAGTCCCTATTTTGCAAAATCACTTCCCCAATGATGATACTGCCCCTAATTTCTGAGTCACCAATAAAATACACCCATATCATACCTATAAACATATAACAGTCTGCATTTGTAGCTGTAACATTCATGGTGATTCTATGTTTAGTTCAATCATCTTACTATTTCATTATGTCTTTCTGGAAAATTACTACATATTGAAGTACATATTACCTTTATATTTTCCCTTCATTTCTCCCTATTACAATTATATTAAACTAATTAATTGTAACATATGTGTATAGGAAGATATATTATCTATGAATTTCATTTAGTAAAGATTTTTGTTATACAAGGAGAGAACTGGGTTTAATAAGGCTAAGGAACACTGGACTAAATTACCCGTAGGTACCTTTCTACTCTAAGATTTTCTAAGCTTATGATTCTTCCAGAATAAAAAGTCAAATGATATAAAGAAGGAAATATTAACAACAAATATTTCAGAGGTAGTGAGTGGCAGATCCAAGACTAGAACCCAGGTGATCTAATGCTCAATGCCCCCTGACTACAATAGTTTGGAGGGCTTGAAAGGAGAAAGAACAACCCAGCCCCATGTCCACACCAGGGGAGGATCTCATTACCTTCAATAGCAGGGAAGTCATTCCTTGGAAGGGGCTGCCAAGAGACAAAGAACAAGCCCATCAATGCAATGATTACTTTCCACTACAGGACAATCACACGCTGGTTTCTAAGGGTGGGTGGGAGGAAAGTCTCATTCTAGATTGGATTGAAGACCACCTCATGAAGTAGCCCAAGCAGAGGAGAAGCAAATAGGACTGAGGGAGAAGATTCATGGAGAAAGGTGAAGAGAGAAGAACCAGGCTGGTCAAAAAACAAGTCGAGGGTACCACATATACTAGTAAAGGTCAGCTAGGAGAAAAGGTTGATCAGCTGTTTTTTCCTACAAGGACAGGAAGCAAAATATGGGCCAAGGAAGGTGAGCCTTTGGAGAAAAAAAGAGATCTTTGGGGGTATGATGGACTATTTCTCTTGCTATCGGATTAGAAAGCAGAAGCTTTCTTGTAACCAATGCTTCCATTCCTTCCCCAGATTATTACAATGACCTGGAGTAAGTCACTTCCCCTGAGGCTCAGTCTCTGAACTGTTCTAAGATCTTTTCCAACTCTGATATTCTGGTTTTCCACATAATTTGCATGGCTCTAGAAAAAAAGCTCTCAAAGACAATAAAGTGCTCTATTTTAATTGGAACACTCTGGGATTAGGAGAGAAGCTATATAAATGAATAAAAGTAAGCTTATCTATAACATTTCATCACATTTTGATAGTAGTCAGACTTATAATATAGGCTATATGATATAAATATATAGAGTTAACATAAAAAAACAGGGTCAGGGGCAGTCACATACTACAGAGGTTCAATAAGAGACCATGTGACTACTGATCAGAAAAGATAAATATGAGCTGAACCCAAAGAGAACACAGACACTCAGAACTGCCAGTTACTTTTATAAGCAAGCTGCTTTTCACAAGGAAACTGTCTCAAGATAAAGCAGAACAGTGAAGAATTTAACAAAGGTTAAATTTATGATTCTCCATAAATTTAATGATTCTCCCAGACAATACTGGGAAAGCTACTAAAATACAAAGCTACCAGAGATGTTGGGGCTCTATAAAAGGGTTCTCAGCTAATCACAAACAATGCAGAAAGAGAAGCCCTTAGGAGTGTGTGGCTCCTCTGAGCCATTCTGGATATGTGGGGGACAAATCCTTGGTCAGATGTGCCTCTCCAAGAAGGCAATTTGAGAAACATGGACAAGCTGTAGCTCTAACGGTGAAGGGTTACAAGAGAAGCCCATGAAGGAACAAGAGGACATAATTAAACACAAGACCCTAGATGTATTCTTTTTTTTTTTTAAATATATTTTACTGATTTTGTACAGAGAAGAAGGGAGATAGAGAGTTAGAAACATCAATGAGAGAGAGTCATCGATCAGCTGCCTTTTGCACACCTTCTACTGGGGATATGCCTGCAACCAAGGTACATGCCCTTGACTGGAATTGAACCCGGGACCTTTCAGTCCCCAAGCCAACGCTCTATCCATTGAGCCAAACCGGTTTCGGCCCCCAGATGTATTCTTATTACCATGGTCTTTGGCCGCCGTTGGAGATCCACCATGTCAAGCACAGGGAAGGCCATCCGCAGCTCATCCACAGTAACCACATTCTTGAAGCCCAGTCTAGACCAAGGTCAGGAAAACAAAGCTGGGCAGTTCTGGGGAAAAAAATATCTTTAAAGGAAGGGGAACCAACCCAATCCTGGTCAAATTAGTCTACCCAATTCCCAGAGTAAACCAATGAGCCCAGCAGGGCCAACACCAATCTTAAAAATGCTGACAGGCAGTCCATGAGTGCATAGGCAGAGTGGGGCTGTGTTCCTCAAAGCAATATACCATTGGAGACTGGACACATTCTAGGTGCCAGATCCTATACTGGGCAGCAATAGGGCACAAGGCAAATAAGAAACTCTGTCCTCAAGGAGCTCACTGCCTTCCCAAAACCCATCACACGAGAGCACTGTCACTATATGCCAAGAAGTTCAGAAAAGGAGACTACTCAGTGGCCTTAATCGTATGTAAGAAATGTTTTTGGGTTGTTTTTTTTTTTTAATTGATTTTTTTACAGAGAGAAAGGGAAAGGAATAGAGTGTTAGAAATATTGATGAGAGAGAAACATCGATCAGCTGCCTCCTGCACACCTCCTATTGGGAATGTGCCTACAAACAAGGCACATGCCTTTGACCAGAATCAAACCTGGGACCCTTGAGTCTGCAGGCCAACACTCTATCCACTGAGCCAAACCGGTTAGGGCAAGAAATATTTTAATAAAAATTTTATAACTTAATTTTTACAATATCCTGTTATACATAATTATTAATAACGAACTACAACATTTGCTAACAAACTACAACTTTTGCTTATGACTATAATCGTGTTGCATTCATTTCCCTTATATACCTCACACACAGGCTCTCCATTTCTCTCCAGTAATACTAGCAATTGCCATGCCATTAGTCTTGGACTGACTTGTTTGGTGTGTGCAACTGGAAAAAGTTCATCTTCAGAGAACAAGAAATATAGACTTATTTGCATTATACTTATTAATTTGTGCAGCTATTCAGTGTCTGATATGTTAATGCTCAAGAAAAAATATTAATTTTTATTAAAATGATCTAATATTTTATGTTAACAATTACTCATTTATTTCAGCCCTTTGTATTCAGCATGTTTCTATAGAACTAAACCTATATTTCCATGAAAATTTAAGTGTTTTGGTTTTTTCAGCCCACATAAACTTAAACTTTACTTATTTGGCCTGTGTTAGCCTTTGAGTTTGACATGCTTTGTCTAGAGCAGTGGTCAACAACCTATTGGACCTCACAGACCACCTGTTGGCAACCGCTACTCCAAAGGTTTCCTTAAACCAGTGGTCGCCAACCTTTTGGACCTCATGGCACACCAGTTGGCGAACGCTGGTTTAGAGAAGTTATGTTTGAGCTAAAGCTTTAAGATGAATTGGATTCCAACAGCATGGGGAGGCCATGGGAGTAGTAAGCCAGCTCAGCTTTAGCTCTCCAAGACCTGCTTCCATTTTTCTATCTTTAATTCCCACTTGTAACCTTAACTGTCCATAATTTCAGATTATTCTCAAAATGAATTTTCAAAAAATGATGCTTCCATCAGATCACCCCATCAGTAATAAACCTGGAGACTCTCCACTGTCCTCATAATTAATTCAGTTACTTCCTGCATTTACTTTTGCAGTTTTCTACACCCAGTACCACCCTCCTTATCCTTATTTCCCACCTTGTCTCATTACAATCTTCTGCTTCAGGGATCCTCACCATCCCTTCTCTTTCTAGCCTCCTAACTGCCTCTGCATGGGAAACCTGAAACCTCTCCTGTGTCACAGCCTTGTTACTCCATCAAACCATAAGTAATTTCTCCTCTAAGGATGTTCCTGTTCCCCTAACACTTGTGACACCCAAAACTACCTATACTGCTCTTTTAAGTTCTTTAATCTCATGCCATCTGAGATTCCTTTATTATATATGGTGCCTCAAGTATGGGCCCTTCAATTAATTCGGAATTCCATGGTACTTCTCCTAGCTCCTACTACCTTAAACCCTACTGCACAGTGCTGGCACACCAGAAGTGCTGGACAGAGTCTGCAGGAGCAAATAAATAAGCTGCTTGAGAGCAAGGGCAATCTTCTGCCTTTTGAATAATCACAATACCCAAAGGAGGAATTCATTGTAGATACTTAATTAACATTGCAGGCGGAGCTTGAAGATGGCGACCGAACAGTCGGACCTGTTCTGACTCTGGTCCCAGAACGGATAAAGGGGGCTTCTGAGTCGCTCAGGGAGAGTTGATTGGCAGCTAAGGGACAGCGGAGCTCTCAAGGAGGGTAAGAGAGAGTCCGCTGGACAGGATTTCCTGACCAAGTGGCCAGGACGGCCGCGGCAGCAGCAGCAGCAGCGGCGGGGGCGGCGGAGGCAGCGAGCGGTGGGCTGCAGGCGTGGAGGAAGGGCTGCATTGTCTTGCCAGGAAGGAAAGAGCTTCTCTGAGGCGTGGAAAACGCACAGCCCGGAGGTCCATCGAGCAGCTGAGACTCCCAGAGCTGCGCAGACACGTGGATTCCGGGGAGATCTTCAGTCACCCACGGAAAGGTCAGAGTTTGCGGGGATAGCCTAAGGGATCTGGGTTCCGCGGCGGCGAGCTCCGGGGAGTTCCAGCCCTGCCTCCACGGTAGACGGGTGCGCAAACTACCGCCCACTGAGGCGGAGCGGAGCCCAAAGAAGGCTACAGCGACACCTAGTGCTGGGTTTGAAGTAATCCCCCCCCAGAAGAGGGGCTTTTTTAAAACGCCAGGGGACAAGGGACAGTGTGTTAAGAATAGCGGCTGTCCCGCCAAGGGCGGAACATCTGGACACCTTGGCACCGGTTCCCATTCACCCCCTTGCTTCTGAATACTAGAGAAGAACTGCCCAGTTGGGCATAGCCGGGGAAATTGTAGGGGGAATTTGCCTTCTGGAAACAAGGGATTGGAGCCAGAAGACATAGTCCTGGAGCCAGCTAGAGCCATAGAGAAAGAAGGCCAGAGCAACCAAAAAGACTGGGAGGTCAAACCGGAAACACTGACACCTAAGAGCCGAATTACAAACTGCCTTTTTTTTCTTTTCTTTTTCTTTTTTTTCTTTTTTTTCTTTTTTTTTTTTCTCTTTTTTCTTTTTATTAATCAAAAATAAACGGACACAAATAACTAAGATATAACCTGCTTAAAATTAAGGTTTACCTTACAAAACTGAGGTGCAGTGGAATGCTGGGGACTGCAAGACTGTCTGGTCCGAGAATCAGGAGTGCCAAATACATTAACAGAGGAAGTGAATGACCATTACTGGACATTTTTATGCTAATTTTACTATTCTTTATTTTATTTTCATTTTTTACATCTTTTATTTAATTTTCACTTTTTATAGCATTTACTTAAGAAAAATTTTTTCTATTTTTTTCCTTACTTCATTTTACCTTTTCAATTATTACATTTTTCAATCTTTATCATCACTATTACTACTGCTATTTTGCAATTTTTGTTTCTTTCTTTTTTTTTTTTTTTTTTTGTTCTTTGTTTTTTCTTGTTCGTTTGTTTGTTTGTTTGTCTGTTTGTTTCCTCTCCAGTACCATTTTATTTTATTTTTTTTCTGTATTTTACATTGGGAATAACCTCCATTCTATTTTAATCACTACTTTAGCATCATTCAACCCTATCTCAACTTGACCTTTACACCATCACTCTCTTACTAAACTTTACCCTTTTAGTCAACGGTTTATCCTATCCCTTTCCGGCTCTAGATTTTCCTCTATTCTTTCTGTATACCCCTTGCTAAAGCTCTCACTATACGTATAGACCTAAGTTCCAACCCCTGATCCAAGTGTATAAATACCAATTTCTGTACTATATTAACTAGTTAAAAAAAAAAAAAACTGTTCTCCCCTCTATCCTTTGCGCATTGTTTGTGTGAGGGTTGATTATTGTGAATTTTTATGCTTTTTAGTGAAATGGTTATGCTTATTCCTGTGTTGTTATTGTTGCATTGTATTTTTTTTTTAAATCCTCTGTTTTTGTTTGTTTCTATTACTTCTGTATATCATAGACTTACTTAATAATAGTGGATATTGTAGTTTGTATTAATCTCCAAGTATTGTTACTGGCATTGGCTGGGTTCAGTAGTTGTTCTATGGCAATTTTCTCCACATATATATAGTTTGTTTCCCATTTCTCTTTTAGTTTGCTTCTTCTCTCCCTTTCTTTCTCTCTCTCTCTCTCTCTCTCTCTCTCTCTCTCTCCTTTCTTTTTTTCCCTGTTTTCCAACTTTATTTTGTCATTACTTTTTTTCTTCTCTTTATATCTCTTTATCCTTCTTTTTTTATTTTATTTTCTTAATTTTTTTTTACATTTTAATTTTATAAAAAATTTTCTTTATTTTATTTTTACCTTTCTTCCTTCTCCCCTAACCCCTAAGTTGCCTTTCTCTAGTGGTCACCTTTATTTGAGGTTAATAATATTGTAAATACATTCCTGTTAAGTGCCTCTTGTGTTGTACCTGGTAGTGTTGTATATTGTACCTTTAAATCAACGCAGGAGAAGGAAAACCACATAACCAGACACCCTGAAAAGAGAGGCTATGGGGAGACAAAAACATAGTCTGCACATAAAAGAAAAGCAGGCATCACCAGAAAAGGAAGTAGAGTCAGAGGCAACCAGCCTACCAGAGCAAGAATTCAGAATAATGATCATAGGATGGCTAAAAAGAATGGAAGAGAAATTTGACAATAACCAAGAAGAAATGAGGAAGAACCACGAGGAATTGAAGAAGAACCATGAGGAATTGAAGAAGAACCAAGAGGAAATGAAAAATGACATCGCTACCATGAAGAACTCAATAGAAAGCATCAAGAGTAGACAAGATGAAGCAGAGGACCGCATCAGTGAGCTAGAAGATAAGATGGAAAAATATACCCAAGTAGAGCAACTTCTAGAAAAAAAAGATTAAAAAGCAGGAGGAGAGCCTACGGGAGCTTTGGGACAATACAAAACAAAATAATATTCGAATAATAGGGGTTCCAGAAGGAAAGGAAACTGAGGTAGACATGGAAAAAGTATTTCAAAAAATAATGACAGAAAACTTTCCTGAAATAGAGAAGAAAAAACCAACACAAATTCAAGATGCTCGCAGAGTCCCAAGCAAAATGAATCCCAGAAAACAGACTCCAAGGCATATTATAATTAAATTGGCAAACAACGACGACAAAGTAAGAATCTTAAAAGCAGCCAGAGAGAGACAGAAAGTTACATACAAAGGAACCCCCATCAGACTAGCAACTGATTTCTCAACGGAAACTTATCAGGCCAGAAGGGAATGGGATGAAATATACAAAGTCATGCAAAGAAAGGGTCTGAATCCAAGAATACTGTACCCAGCAAGGCTATCAATCAAAATTGAAGGGGAAATCAGGAGCTTCACAGACAAAAAAAGACTGAAGGAATTTATCTCCACCAAACCAGCAATGCAAGAAATGCTAAAGGGTCTACTGTAAAAATAAAGAAATATTAAGTGAAGAAGGAACACAGGGGTATAGATTAAAAATGGCGTCAAATGAGTACCTATCATTAATAACTTTAAAAGTAAATGGTTTAAATGCTCCAATAAAAAGACATAGGGTAACAGATTGGATAAGAAAACAAGACCCATACATCTGTTGTCTACAAGAAACCCACCTCAGAAAAAAAGATGCACACAGACTGAGGGTGAAGGGATGGAAAAAAGTTTTCCAGGCGAATGGAAATGAAAAAAAAGCTGGGGTAGCAATACTTATATCTGACAAATTAGATCTCAGATTGAAGGACATAATAAGAGATAATGAAGGCCACTTCATAATACTAAAGGGAACAATCCAACAAGAAGAAATTACCCTGGTAAATATATATGCACCCAATACAGGAGCAACCAAATACATAAAAAAACTGCTGGAGGACATTAAGGGAGAGATTCATAGCATTACAATCATAGTAGGAGATTTTAATACCCCTCTGTCACCCTTTGACAAATCATCTAAACAAAAAATCAGCAAAGAAATATCAATCCTAAATGACTCACTAGACCAGATGGAATTAATTGACATCTTCAGAACACTCCACCCCAAAGCCGCAGAATATACATTCTTCTCAAGTGCACATGGGACATTCTCAAAGATAGACCACATTTTGGGACATAGGCAAAGTCTCTTCAAATTTAAGAAGATAGAAATCGTATCAAGTATCTTCTCAGACCATAATGGCATAAAACTGGAAATTAACTACAATAAAAATAATCCAAAGAAATCAAACACATGGAGATTAAACAGCATGCTATTAAACAAGGACTGGGTTACCAGAGAAATCAAGGAAGAAATTAAAAACATCCTGGAAACAAATGACAATGAAAACACAACAATCCAAAATCTATGGGACACAGCAAAAGCAGTTTTGAGAGGGAAGTTCATATCCTTACAAGCCTATTGCAAAAAACTAGAAAAAAGGGTAACAGATGATCTAACTCTACAACTCAAAGAATTAGAAAAGGAGCAACAAGAAAAGCCCAGTGTAAGCAGAAGGAAGGAAATAACAAAAATCAGAGCACAGATAAACGACATAGAGACCAAAAAAACAATACATAAGATCAACAAAACCAAGAGCTGGTTTTTTGAAAGAATAAACAAGATAGATGAACCTCTAGCCAGGCTAACCAAGAAACAAAGAGAGAGGACCCAAATAAACAAAATCAGAAATGAAAGAGGTGAAATAACAACAGACCCCACCGAAATACAACAGATTGTTACAAAATACTACGAACAACTCTATTCCAACAAACTGAACAACCTGGACGAAATGGACATATTCCTAGAAAAATACAACCTTCCAAAACTCAATCAGGAAGAATCTAAAAATCTTAATAGACCAGTGACGTGGGAAGAAATTGAAACAGTCATCAAAAAGCTTCCAGCAAACAAAAGCCCAGGGCCTGATGGCTTCACAGGAGAGTTTTACCAAACATTCAAGGAAGAACTAAAACCTTTCCTCCTCAGACTATTCCAAAAAATCCAAGAGGAAGGAACACTTCCAAACTCCTTCTATGAAGCCAGCATCACCCTAATACCAAAACCAGATAAAGACAACTCAATGAAAGAGAATTACAGGCCAATATCCCTCATGAACATAGATGCCAAAATCCTCAACAAAATTCTAGCAAATAGACTCCAGATGAACATCACAAAGACCATACACCATGACCAAGTAGGATTTATTCTAGGAATGCAAGGATGGTACAATATCCGCAAATCAATAAACGTGATACATCACATAAACAAACTGAAAGATAAAAATCATATAGTCATATCAATTGATGCAGAAAAAGCATTTGATAAAATCCAACACCCTTTCCTGATAAAAACTCTTAACAAGGTGGGAGTACAAGGATCATACCTCAACATAATAAAAGCTATATATGATAAACCCACAAGCAACATTATACTCAATGGGCAAAAACTAAAACCATTCCCTCTAAGAACAGGAACCAGACAGGGATGCCCACTCTCGCCACTCCTGTTTGACATAGTACTGGAAGTACTAGCCATTGCAATTAGACAAGAGGAGGAAATAAAAGGCATCCAAATTGGAAAAGAAGAAGTAAAGTTATCCTTATTTGCAGATGACATGATACTGTACATAAAAAAACCAAAAGACTCCATTAAAAAACTAACTGACTTAATAAATGAATTTGGCAATGTAGCAGGATACAAAATTAATGCCAAGAAATCCACGGCATTTCTATACACCAACAGCGAAACTATAGAAACAGAGATTAAAAAAGCAATTCCATTTACCATCGCACCAAAAAAATTAAGGTACCTAGGAATAAATTTAACTAAGGAAGTAAAGGACCTATATGCAGAAAACTACATGACACTGAAAAAAGAGATAGAGGAAGATGTAAAGAGATGGAAGAATATACCATGTTCATGGATCGGTAGAATCAACATCATCAAAATGTCCATACTTCCTAAAGCAATCTATAGGTTCAATGCACTCCCCATTAAAATACCAACGGCATATTTCACCGACCTAGAAAGAACTCTCCAAAAGTTCATTTGGAACAATAAAAGACCCCGAATAGCCACAGCAATCCTGAGAAAGAAGGGTAAAGTAGGAGGGATCTCAATACCAGAATTCAATTGTATTACAAAGCCACTGTTCTCAAAACAGCCTGGTACTGGCACAAGAACAGACATATAGATCAATGGAATAGAATCGAGAACCCAGATATCAACCCAAATCACTATGCTCAATTAATATTTGACAAAGGAGGCACGAATATACAATGGAGTCAAGACAGTTTCTTCAATAAATGGTGTTGGGAAAATTGGGCAGACACATGCAAAAGAATGAAACTAGATCACCAACTTACACCATACACAAAAATAAACTCAAAATGGATACAGGACTTAAACATCAGACGGGAAACCATAAAAATACTAGAAGCATCCGCAGGCAGCAAAATCTCAGACGTATGCCAAAAGAACTTCTTCACTGATACTGCCCCTAGGGCAATGGAAGCTAAAGAGAAAATAAACAAATGGGACTACATCAAAATAAAAAGTTTTTTTACAGCAAAAGAAACCATCAACAAAACAACAAGAAAGCCCACGGTATGGGAGACTATATTTGCAAATAATACCACGGATAAAGGTTTAATCTCCAACATCTACAGACAGCTGATACAACTAAATAAAAGGAAGATGAATGATCCAATTAAAAAATGGGCAATGGACCTAAATAGAATATTTACAAAAGAAGACAGAAAGAAGGCCAAAAGGCACATGAAAACATGCTCAAAGTCACTAATTATCCGAGAGATGCAAATCAAAACAACAATGCGGTACCATCTCACACCTGTCAGAATGGCCAACATCAACAAATCAACAAATGACAAGTGTTGGCGAGGTTGCGGAGAAAAAGGAACCCTCGTGCACTGCTGGTGGGAATGCAGACTGGTGCAACCACTGTGGAGAACAGTGTGGAGTTTCCTCAAAAAACTGAGAATGGAACTCCCATTTGACCCAGTAATCCCACTTCTTGGAATATATCCCAAGAAACTAGAAACACCAATCAGAAAGGATATATGCACCCCTATGTTCATAGCAGCACAATCTACAATAGCCAGAATCTGGAAACAGCCGAGGTGCCCGTCAGCTGATGATTGGATCCAAAAACTTTGGTACATCTACACAATGGAATACTATGCTGCCATAAAAAAGAAGGAATTCTCATCATTTGCAGCAACCTGGATGGAATTGGAGAACATCATGCTGAGTGAAATAAGCCAATCAATGAAAGAGAAACACCACATGACCCCACTCATTTGTGGATAATAAAGATCATTATAAACTGATGAACCAAAAGATAGATATAGAGACAGTAAAGCAACAAGCAGATTGTCAAATTATAACGGGGAGGGGAGGAGGGTCTGGGGGAGACAATAAATCAACCCAAGGACTTGTATACATGCATATAAGTACAACCAATGGACATAAAACTCTGGGGAGGGAGGGGATACATGGGAGGGAAGGAGGGGGGCAAAAAAAAAAAATCAATAAAATATGTAAAATAAATAAATAAATTAATTTAAAAAAAAAAATTAACATTGCAGATAAGTTGACTGAGCACCATGAAGAAAGCCCTAGAGCAATGATTCTCAAACCTAATTACAGAATCACTTAGTTTCATTTTTTAAAATAAAGACTGTTGATTATTTTTCTCAGTCCTAATGACACAGATTTCCCAGAAATCTGTATTTTCAGCTCCCCAAAAGGTAATGATTCAGTAGTCTGGCTTTTGGAAACCACCAGCCTACTGACCACACCTGAGGGCTGTTCTCTCTCCCTCAAGAGCCCACCACCCCCCCCGATGAGGCCTGGCACCCTGCATCCAGCATGCCTTATGATGGTGCCCCCTAAGCTATGGGAGAAAAGTCCCCAGTCCTGCCCATTTCTCTTCAACCAGAGTGAGAAGCATCAAAAGGATACATTTGGGCATTTTCCACCAGAGGTCCCTGCCCAGACACTATCATCCGTTTTCCATGATATTGTGAGAAAAGCTTCATGGGACTGTGAGAAAGAATAACTTGATCTGGCTCCACCTGTAGGGACAGCCAAGAGACAGGAGAGAAGAGTTGAGGGATAATAATGGGAGATAAATGGCAGCTTCTTTCACCTAGGAAGAAAGGAAAAAAAACACTGCCCAGATTTAAAAAAAAAAAAAAAGGGGGGGGGGGGGCCAAGAGGGCTTCCTAGCTCCTGGCTCTTGCCACCCAAAACAAGCAAGCAGTACCCTGTCCCATGAGGCTCAGGAGTAGTGTTGGCCTGAGCACTAAAGGATATTGGGTTTGATTCTCAATCACAGGCATATACCTGGATGCAGGTTTGATCCCCAGGCCAGGTGGTTAGAGAGTGTTTCTCTCTCTCTCCCTCTCTCTTTATCCCTCCCTCCCCCACCTTCTCTTCCATTCTCTCTAAAATCAATGGAAAAAAAATATCCTCAGGTGAGGATTAACAAACAAACAAACAAAAAATAAGCAGGACATGCCATCAGTGATGGGTTCTCATACCAATCCTGTCCAGCTCAACTTCCCTTTGAAAAGCACAGTTAGTGTGCATGCTTTGTCAATGTCATAGAGCTATACTTCTAACTTTGATTTTCAGTTCTTAGTTCTACTTAAAGACTTAGCCTTTTAACATTTAAACTAATTACAACAATGCAGCCTTTTCTCAGAATGTTTTGAGAAACCACAGAAGGGAAACAGTTTTATGTCTTCACTCCCTGCATTCATCCTCAAACAGGATCACCCCATCATCAATCAGCCACTTTACTTTCTTGGTTCCATGTACTTTTCCCCAAAACTACAAACACCCTCAACAAAGAATGAGTGTGTCAATATGAGATACATGTGCAGTTGAAAGTGGGTGAAGAGGAACTGCTTTTGGGGACATTACTTATTTACATGTGTGCATCTTATTTATGAGAAATAAGGGCCGTTACTTCAGAGTCCCACTTGGCATACAGAGATTTAGAAAAATGTGACCTTCACCCTGACTAGTATAGCTCAGTTGGTTGAGTGTCGTCTCATGCACCAAGAGATTGCTGGTTTGATTCTTTGTCAGGGCATATGTCCAGGATTGTGTGCTCAACCTCCAGTAGGGAGCATGTAGGAGGCAGCCAATTGATGGTTCTCTCTCATTGATGTTTCTCTCTTTTCTCCTCCCTCCCCCTCAAATCAATGTAAACATTTAAAAAAAAGAAAATTGTGACCCTTACTTTCTAGGGGCTGATAGTTCGAAAGAAACAACCCTGATGCCCAGAAGAAATGAATATAAAAACTATAGGCTGAACTACCAACTCCATGGGCAGGATTTTGTACTTAACATGTATGTATATATAAAAAATTACCCTGTTGATGTAACTTATGAGGCTAGGCTTAAACTTCGTTATTTTTCAAGCAGGGTTTGTACTGAACTAACTGGCCATGCCCTCAGGCTTATCAATACTATACTGCACCCCAAGGAAAAAGGCTTAGTCAGAAAAAGCCTTAATCAGAACCAGGCCCTTGAGTCTCCAGCTGCCTCCTTACCTTAAAGCCCAGCAGAGCTGACAGCTCCTGGGCTTTGCCATGCTGTAAAATGTTCCCAGCATTCGTGACAAAGACCACAGGCACGCGCAGCTTCCCCTGAGCATTCACCAGCCTGCGGAAGGCTTTCAGAGCAGCAGGGATCACTCTATGGCCCCGTACCAGCACTCCATCGATGTCCAACAGGAACCCAAAGGTAGGCTGGCTCTGCAGAGGAGAGAAAAGAGCCGCCACTGCCTAAGTCAAGAGGCAGAGAGGAGGAAGGAAAAGACCCTTAAAAAGAATGACTGGGGCCCAGCCTGCATGGTTCAGTAGTTGAACCTCAAACTATAAACAAGGAAGTTAAGGTTGGATTCCTGGTCAGGTCACATGCCCTGGTTGGGGGCTCCATCCCCAGTGTGGGGTGTGCAGGAAGCAACTGATTAATGATTCTCTCTCATCACTGATGTTTCTCTCTTTCTCTCTCCCCCTCATTCTTCCTCTCCAAAATCAATAAAAATATATTTTAAAAAGAAAAAAAAGAGGGACTTGGTGCTCTCCCTCCAGGGAGCATGGCCATGCCTTTCCCTTTCCTCTACCCATTCCAGCCCCAGGCATGTTACCATCAGCTTCCTCACTCTCAAGCTCAAAGAGCCTGCCTTTACCTCCATAACTTGTTTGCTAAGCCTGTTTCTTGTACAAATTGCTTCTTCTACCTTTGTAATTTGCCAATAAATGCTCTTAAAAAAAAAAAAAAAAGAGGAACTCCACATTATTATCAAGTTGCCCAGGGCCTAAAGCATAAAATGAGGACATGGGATTTCAGATAGAGCAAGCCTCTACTGAGGAGCGTGTGCCTGACTGACATGACTGGGAATTGAACTGTGACCTCCTAGTTCATAGGTCTACACTCAACCACTGAGCCATACCAGGTGGGCAATCTCTGCACTTTAACACAATCAATTAATATTTTGTTTTTAATTTATTTATTTTCAATCTTAACTAAAGACATGCTTAGAGAGAGGGAGGGAAGGAGGAATGGAAAGAGAAACATCGACCTGTTGCCTTCTATCCATGTCCCAACTGGGAATTGAATCTGCAACCAAGGTATGAGCCTTGGTAGGGACTGGAATCAGCAACTTTTCAGTGCACAGGGCAAAGCTCCAACCAACTGAACCATTATGGCCAAGAAAATATTTTCTTTTTGTCTACTTTATCTATTCTTGTTTGTAATATAGCTACAACTATACTTTATATGTGTAATTTTTCATCTTGTCTTTTTTGCTTGACATACAAACATTTTTACCTGTTATAATAGTAATAATAACCATCTTTAAAATCTTTTTTTTCATTTTTGTATTAAGTTATTATATGTGTACATATCTTACCATTAACCCCCTCACCTCATCCCATACATGCCCTCACACCCAATTTTTTTTAAAATATATTTTATTGATTTTGTACAGAGAGGAAGGGAGAGAGATGGAGAGTTAGAAACATCGATAAGAGAGAGTCATCGATCAGCTGCCTCTTGCACACCCCCTACTGGGGATATGCCCGCAACCAAGGCACATGCCCTTGACCGGAATCGTACCCGGGACCCTTCAGTCCCCAAGCCGACGCTCTATCCATTGAGCCAAACCGGTCTCGGCACACCCAAAGTTTTGAGTCCAATGGTTATGCTTATATGCATAAAACTAAGCCCTTCAGTTGATCTTTTATCCACCCACCTCTCCCTAACCTTCCCACTGTAATTTGACAGTCTGTTTGATGCCTTACTATCTCTGTAACTATCATTTTGTTCATCAGTTTATAATGTTCTTTATTTTCCATAGATGAGTGAGATCACCCGGTATTTTTCTTTCATTGACTGGCTTATTTTACTTAACACAATGTTCTCAATTCCACCCAGATTTCTGCAAATGGTAAGAATTTCTTCTTTTTTATGGCAGCATAGTATTCCATTGTGTAGATGTACCAAAGTTTTCTGACCCAGTCATCTGCTGACGAGTACCTAGGCTGTTTCCAAATCTTAGTCATTGTAAATTGTGCTGTTATGAACATAGAGGTGCATATATGCTAACTGATTGGTGTTTCTAGTTTCTTGGGATATATTCCTAGGAGTGGGATCACTGGGTCAAATGGGAGTTCCATTATCAGTTTCTTGAGGAAACTCCATACTGTACTCCACAGTGGCTGTACCAGTCTGCATTCCCAAGAATAGTGCATGAGTGTTCCTTTTCCTCCGCATCCTCGCCAAAATTTGTAGTTCGTTGATTTCTTGATGATAGCCATTCTGAAAGGTGTGAGATGGTATCGCAATGTCATTTTGATTTGCATCTCTCAGATAATTAGTGACTTTGAGCATGTTTTCATGTGCCTCTTGGCCTTCCTTCTGTCTTCTTTTGAGAAGATTATATTTAGGTCCATTGGCCATTTTTTTTTTTATTGGATCATTTATCTTCTTTTTATTAAGTTGTATAAACTGCCTGTAGATTAAACCTTTATCAGTGATGACATTTGCAAATATGTTCTCCCATACATTGGGCTTCCTTGTTTTGTTGGTGGTTTCTTTTGCTGTAAAAAAGGTTTTTATTTTGATGTAGTCCCATTTGTTTATTTTCCCTAGGGACAGTATCAGTGAAGAAGTTCTTTCGGCATATGTCTGAGATTTTGCTGCCTGTGGATGCCTCTAGTATTATTATGGTCTCCCATCTTATGTTTAAGTCCTGTATACATTTTGAGTATATTTTGTGTATGGTGTAAGTTGGTGATCTAGTTTCATTTTTTTTTTTCTTTACATTATCTGTCCAATTTTCCCAACACCATTTGTTGAACAGACTGTCTTGACTCCATTGTATATTCATGTCACCTTTGTCAAATATTAATTGAGCATAATTGTTTGGTCTATGTCTGGATTCTCTATTCTATTCCATTCATCTATATGTCTGTTTTTGTGCCAGTACCAGGCTGTTTTGAGAACAGTGGCTTTATAATACAGCTTGAAATCTGGTATTGAGACCCCTCCTATTTTATTCTTCTTTCTTAGGATTGCTGAAGCTATATGGGGGTCTTTTTTTATTCCAGATGAATTTTTGGAGAGTTTTTTCTAGGTCTGTGAAGTATGCCATTTGTATTTTAATGGGGAGGGCATTGAATCTATATTGCTTTGGGTAGTATGGACATTTTAATGTTGTTGATTCTACCAATCCATGAAAATGGTATGTCCTGCCGAAACTGGTTTGGCTCAGTGGTAGAGCGTCGGTCTGCGGACTGAAAGGTCCGGGTTCGATTCCGGTCAAGGGCATGTACATTGGTTGTGGGCACATCCCCGGTAGGGGGTGTGCAAGAGGCAGCTGGTCAATGTTTCTCTCTCATTGACGTTTCTAGCTCTCTATCTCTCTCCCTTCCTCTCTGTAAAAAATCAATAAAATATATATTTTTTTTAAAAAGAATATGGTATGTCCTTTCATCTGTTTATGTCTTCCTCTCTCTCTTTTTTCAATGTCCTGTAGTTTTCCACATATAGGTCTTTTACCTCCTTAGTTAAGTTTATTCCTAGGTATCTTAATTTTTTTGGTGTGATGGTAAATGGGATTGCTTTTTTAGTCTCTCTTTCTATAAGTTCACTATTGGTGTATAGAAAGGCCATAGATTCTTGGCATTAATTTTGTATCCTGCTACATCTCCAAATTCAATTATTAAATCTATTAGATTTTGATGGAGTGTTTCAGGTTTTTATGTACAATATCATGTCATCTGCAAATAAGGACAGCTTTCCTTCTTTTTTTCCCAATTTGGATGTCTTTTATTTCTTCTTCTTGACTATTTGCAATGGCTAGTTCTAGTACTATGTCAAACAGGAGCGCTGAGAATGGGCATCCCTGTCTTGTTCCTGTTCTTAGGGGAAATGGTTTTAGTTTTTGCCCATTGAGTATGTTTGCTGTGAGTTTATCATATATACCTTTTATTAGTTGAAGTATGATCCTTTTATTCCCACCTGTTTAGAGCTTTTAACAAGATGGGGTGTTGGATTTTGTCAAATGCCTTTTCTTCTTGAATTGATATGACTATGTGATTTTTATCTCTCAATTTGTTTATGTGATGTATCAAGTTTATTGATTTGCAGATATTGTACCATGCTTGCATTCCTGTCGTAAATCCTATTTGGTCATGGTATATGATCTTTCTGATCTACTGTTAGAGCCGATTTGCTAGTATTTTTTTTGAGGATTTTGGTATCTATGTTCATGAGGGATATTGGCCTGTAATTCTACTTCATTGCATTGCCTTTATCTGGTTTTGGTTTTAGGGTGATGCTGGCTTCATAGAAGGAGCTTGGAAGTGTTCATTCCTCTTGAATTTTTTGGAATAGTCTGAGAGGATAGTGTTAGTTCTTCTTTGAATGTTTGGTGAAACTCTCCTGTGAAGTCATCTGGGCCCGGGCTTTTGTTTGGCAGAATCGTTTTTATGACTGATTCAATTTCTTCCATAGTTATCAGCCTATTGAGATGTTTTGATTTTTCCTGATTGACTTTTGGAAGATTATGTTTTCTAGGAATATGTCCATTTCTTCTACATTGTAAAGTTTGTTGGAATAGAGTTATTTGTAGTATTTTTTATATTAGTATCCTTTGTATTTCAGCGGGGTCTGTTGTTATTTCACATTTTTCATTTCTGGTATTGTTTATTTGGGTCCGCTTTGCTTCTTGGTCAGCCTGGCTAGAGGTTCATCAATCTTGTTTATCCTTTCAAAGAACCAGCTATTGGTTTTGTTTATCTTTTGTATTATTTCTTTGGTCTCTATGTCATGTATCTCCACTCCGAACTTTATTATTTACTTCCTTCTGCTTACACTGGACTTTTCTTGTTGCTCTCTTTCTAAGTCTTTGAGTTGTATGGTTAGGTAATTTATTACCATTGTTTCTTGTTTTTTGCAGTAGGCTTGTAGAGCTATGAACTTCCCTCTCAAGACTGCTTTTGCTGTGTCCCATAGATTTTGGATTGTTGTGTTTTCATTGTCATTTGTTGCCAGGATGTTTTTTTATTTCTTCTTTGATCTCTCTGGTGACCCAGTCATTGTTTAATAGCATGCTGTTTAGTCTCCATGTGTTTGACTTCTTTGGATTGTTTTAATTGTAGTTGATTTCCAGTTTTATGCCACTGTGATCTTAGAAGAACTTGATATGATTTCTATCTTCTTAAATTTGGAGAGACTTTGCTTAAGT